TCATCTATAAAAGAAAACCTGGCTGCTGTTATAAGAAGGCAGAATGACCGAAGGTATTTATTTTTAAGCCTGGTCGTTCTGGATATCCTTGACGTGAACGGTGAAAGGCTTTTTTCTACAACTAATAACTTCCAAAAACGTTCGGACAAGTTTATTCGTCTGACTAGAATTTCGAGAAAAGTAAATAGATTTTTGTCGCATCGCACACTGTAGTTCAAAGCTTGTAGACACGTAGTTGTTACGATAAGATGGCAAGCCATTGCGGAGAATTGGCTGTGGTATAAATAGTTTGTAGAATCTCCAACGGTTTAGAGTCTCATCGTGGTTAGAAGGTGTTCCTGGGGTGAAGGGCTGCTATGATGAACAGCGGGGGGAGAGGGGGGGGGTTCACCAACTGGCAGGGTCTCCCAAGTTGAGAAAAAGTCCGGTGTTTCGATTAGGAAGCCCGGCTGAGAGTAATCCACCACCAGCATTCGTCGCTGTCCTGGTATCAAACTAGTTGCCTAGCGGCAAATCTCCCTCTCATCCACAAGGGCGGCGACTGCCTGTGATGGTGACGACCTGGGGCAGACTCTGGCCTAAGTGAACTCGGGACGCCAGAAAACCGCAATGGCTAGACCAGAAAAACTCCGAAACAATGGAGGTTGGGCTGGGGCCCGCACAACGAGTGAGGACAGGCCATTCAAACATCCAAGTATAATTTGCAGAATAGTGGTGGGTGCACAGAGGCAACGTTCGTAAATGTGCATTCCTTTAGAAACGTCGGACTTACAACTACAACAGCCTTTGTTCTACAAGCTCTATAATTTATAATCGTTACACAATTTGTGTGACGCGTGTGGCGTAGTGGTTGGAGGCGCCACTCTGGCACAAACGTGAAATTGATCCCCGCGCTCATGGCTCTCCAAGCCTACCATCCCTCCGGGGTCGGCAAATTGGTACCAGACTTGTCTAGGAGGATAGCAGCACTGGCTCGATGCATCGGTAGGCCACCGCGAGTCATTGTAAAGGTCAAATAGGCATTCAATCACCTCCAACGGTACTTAATGAAGTCGAATGCATAGCTCATCCCTCAGGGATTGATCAACGCCAAGAGCTTTCATCCTTTACACAATTCGCTATAAAGCATTCTGTATAAAAATATTTCCTGCAATAACTGCATCTAGTGATGATCTGTCTGACATGTTTTGAAATAGATTTTGAGTGGTCATATTCCATTAACTTCTTGCCGTGGTCAAACAGTGCAGTCTGTCTCAGGAAATCGAAGGAATTCTAACAGGTTAAATCAGTCTAAAACTCACGTGGATGTTGGACTCATTCACCGAAATCGGCTGCATATTCTTTGACTTTGAAGGGTGGACGAAGAAGGTCGCATCATTGTCGTGGACATTACGATACAATCATGTGCGTCTTTAAACGTGAGTCCCATTATAACGCCAGTATTCTGTTAGACTTTCAATTGCCCTCTCCTCGCATACTGATCAATAACCTCCTCGGAATGTCACTTCATATCTTTCCTACGTGTGGGTTTTCACGTAAGCAGTTCATCAACTAGCACTCATTCATTAATTATTGGCGTAAAGGAGTTCTTGACTCAACAAATCGTTCACAAACTTTGTCACTACCGACTCACCCACATTTCCTTTCTTCGAGTCGTCTTTACGAGTATGCACAATAGTATTGTTTGTGTAACCACCTCTTCTTTGAATAATCTTAACTTTTTGCATGGTCTATAAAGTCTCGTTCAATTTCTATTTTCAAGACCGGTAAGCGTAATGATCATGAACAACTTCTCCTGTCCACGTCACTTTTGACCCAAGGGATCAAATCTAGAAATGCAACAAGTGCTCCAGTAATCCTTAGAGGTAGAAATCAACCATTGAACTTTTTTGTCTGTTCAGCAGTTAACGGTTTCCGTGCCTTATTTTTTCTTGTCCTTGCCTAATGGTGTCTCTTAAATGCAGTTCCCCAAACGGCGGTAATAAAAACAACCCATGGAAATGTAATGGCTCAGTGCGAACAAGACGAGTTGGTTCCCTTCAAAATAACCATCATCGACACACTTCTCTGGCCTCTCGCCGTTTGCACCATGACCAGTAGTAACACCTGGAACATCACTTTCACACTCCAATTCACCTTCTTAGGCCTCATAAACAGATAGCCCATGAAAGTTCTTCATTTTCATTAATGCAGCAGAATTGTCGACTTGCTGTAAGTGTCAGCCCACATCATCGGTGCAGAGTAGAGTAGAGCGCTGCTAGGGTAGCGCAGTGGTTAATGATGCAGTCCATCAGAAAGCAAGGCGCTAGTACGACTCCATCAACAACGCTCTCCTTCATTCTACATGAGAGTGCTCTACCTGGGTTATCTCCAAGATTTCAAAGAGAATCGCCCAGACCAAGATTCAGCGACATCCATAAAGAAGACGACATTCCTCAGGCAGCAGTCGAAGCCATGCGTGAGAAGTGACAAAATATTCGTGGACGATGAACGCAAGGAAACGAATCGAATGCAAATACAACTGGGAACCGCGCAGTAGACGTGATAACAGGTCATGTAAAAATAAAAATAAAAAGTGTGCTTAGAAGATTGGTGAGCTTTTTAAAGGATGCAAAAATTAGATATGTTTCAAAAACACAGTAGGTGCATAAGAAAAGTCGAGAATATTCAGTTCATAAAAAAGATACAGAAATTGGAAAAAATGCAAGTTAAGAACCAAATTTTAAAGCTAAAAACACGAAAAAGGCGCCGCTTTCATTTTGCACCAAAGAAGACCGTCTGAATTGCTCAGTGCACAAACCGCGCAGTTCAAGCTTAGACTATGAGGCTGTCACAGAATATAAAGAAATGATTCTTTCCACTTCTGTTCAGCAAACACGAGGTGGTATTCCACTTCCCCACTCACGTAAAAGCTGACGTTTCAGCGGATTTCGCCTTCCTCAGAGCCTGGAAAGGTCATGTTGGTTATTACGCCTTAGAGTTATAACTTGGACGTTGAATGATTTATAACAAGCAGCAGATTCTCCGTCCTATTCTTCGAAACGACAACTCAGGGATTACAACTTCAAATTTATGAGAGCATTCCTTAACGAATAAAAAAGCGTTCTGATCAAGAAGTAGTTATAACCGCGTTTCGCCGATGTATGTGTCATACTTACTTATCCTATACATAGCGCTTACATCCGATGTGGTTCCTCATGTTCTCACTACGAGACCTTTGATTGTGTTTGCTCAAATTTTTCTTGATACTTGATACTTGAACGGCGCGTCCTCAAAAGTTGTGCGAGCTCCAGCATAATTACCATTCTTGGGAGATTTTCTGGTTAAGCTATTGTGCTTTCCTGGAATCCCGAAAACCGCCTGGACAAGGTTTGCCCTAGGCCGTCACCACGACAGGCAGTCGTAGCCCTTGTGGATCAGAGGAAGATTTACCACCATGCGACTTTGATACCAAGACTTTGGTGGATTGTATTGGTATTGGTTTACTCTTAGCTAAGCTCCCTGATGGAAACGCCGGATTCTTTCTCAGCTTGGGAGACCCTGTCCGGGGGCACGAATCCGCCGCTGTGCATCGCAGTCCTACACCCAGGAACAAATCCCAGCCACGGTGAGGCGGTAAACCGTTGGGAGGGATTTTAAAATACTCACATGATTTTCAGCCTTCTGTTCAGGAGTTCATATTTAAAAATTAACAAATTCGGCGACAAAAAAATACCAGACTTGTCATGATGCTATGAAACAATACGGAATTTCATTACTGTTTATGAAGTCTTTTTTGAACCGGTGGTCTTCTGGATGAAGAGGAATGAGATGGTGGATTTATGTGAGCAAGAGATATTTTTGAAAAACAAAAGAAAACAAGGTCGAAAGATGGAAAGAGAACTTGGCAAAGAAAATATCTAACACTAACGTCCCTGTATTCTTACTTATACTTCGAGAATCCTTTCCCTCCCACTAACTCAAAAGAAATCACTGAGTTTTACGACAGGAAAGAAACAATGGGAAATTCCACTCTTACACATGATGTCTTAATTATGCCACTTTTGGTTAACACGTACTGGAGTAATCTAACTAAATTTCTGTATAAAAAGACGAAAGGCAATGCTCTTGACAGTAGAGCGGCAGAGAGAAAGAGGCAGAAAGATGGGGGGAGAATGAGAGAATGAAAAAGAGATAAACAGAGAGAGAGAGAGAGTGAGAGAGAGAAATAGGGAAGGAGGAGGAGAAATTTGTGATAAAACACTCAACATTGGCATGAGCACACAGTCATACTTTCATAATAAAGACTGCTCGCTTTGCAAGACCTAACTAAATAAAACACAATAAATATAAGTGAAATCGAACACATTTCTTGAGCTACGGTTTGTGAACAAAGACTTCCGACAAGCACGCAATAACTCCGAGTTATTTTTTAAACATTTTTGCTTATCTTGGCGTGTACTTTGTGGCTAGCACATAGAGTCGGAGAATACGAATACTCTTTTCCAGAAAAAAAACCTGGTCTATTTTAACGTCCAAGTTTATGGATGGCCTACACATTCTAAAACATATATGCGTTATCCTTGCGAATCAGCAAATCAGGAAGAAATGTGATTGTAACAGAATTAACCATCCCCTGAATTTTCTTTCCTGTTCTTTCTGTCCAGTTCACTTGAAAAGCTGACTATCATATCATGTCGTTTACGGCTTTGACCACGACCAGACAACTGTTCAATAATCCGAAAGACCGACTTTCTATGAACCTCGGCATAGATAGTTGATATATTTATTTATGTGATCTTATAAACTGATCTTCTTAAGCTGACGCGAGGTTGGTACAGATCTTCGTTGTCGTTGTTTTTGATGTCATTGAACGATGGCTGACGTTTCGGTTTTTTTAATGAAATTTTTATTAAAATAGTTCAGATAACAGAGTGATCAATTAAAATAATGACGACGAATTTGTAATAAATTCTTAGAAGAAAACACAACTAGGAAAATTTTGTTATTCCACATGAGATTTAATGGTATTGGCCCCTGACAGAAATCATCATTACCCGACGCTTTTCTAAAGACGTAGTTTGATGATCATCAGGATGAATAATACGTGTTTTTGCCCATAATTTGTTCGCAACTGCTGCAGCAGAAGAGTTCAACACAGATGAATGAGTACCAACTCCATTTCCATTATACATTGCACCACCACAAGGATCCCCTGCTCCTCTTTCTGCACGTTCATCCGGACGACGATCAAAGCGAGACCCTAATTCTCTGCCATATTCATCATTTTGCGGTTGCATTTCTCTTGAGAAATCACGGCTGAGGTTATTGTCGTGTGATGGGCCAATGCGACCGTTGAAATCCGGCCTAGAATGAATGTGCATAACTGTCAACTCGTTCCAGGTCGTCCCTGCTGTATTCATTGGGAGCGGCAGTTTGCGCTCCATATTCATCCCTCGAATTGGGAGGAACACCTCTGTTGTAATCATCTCTCTGATTTCTAAAATCGTTTTTGTGGACTCTCCCTCGGTACTCATCAGAACCAAACCGATCTCCTAGACCCTCATAATCATATCCGTCTTCACACGTAACACACGAGTCCCGCGCGTAACATCACGGCTCTGAGGAAGGCGAAGTCGCCGAAACGTCAGCCATCGTTCAATAACATCAAAAACAACGACAACGACAACGACAACGACAACGACAACGAAGATCTGTACCAACCTCGCGTCAGCTTAAGAAGATCAGTTTATAAGATCACATAAATAAATGTTCAATAATCGCTAGATTAGCGGAAATATTTATGAAATAGAAAAAGTTAACGACAAGAGCTAATTGGAGAATATGACTGCTATTTTTAGGAGTACTTCTTATTACCAAAAGAAAACCTAAATAGGTGTTCTCATAATAACCTCAAAGCATCGTACGAGTTCACCGCTAAAAAATCGACAGCATCAGTAGAGGAATTGATTGACACAATGAAACCGGTTATTGGTATGGTTGTACAAGGTGATGGTTATAGATGAGTCGGTACATTCGTTCGCAATGAGGCGTGATGTCAGGGAAGAAAACAAAAAATGCATTAACCCTAGACACTTTTTGAATAGCACAATGGCACCTTTTCATTTACTTTACCGTGGTGCTTCTATCATATGCACTCCTTTAAATACGAAGCTTGGGGAAACGTCGCTGCTTTTTTTAAAATAATAGGATCATACTCTGATATTCAAGAGAGGAACTCATTACTCGGTCATCCCCTAGGCTGCCAAGCAGCTGGACATCTCCATCTTTAAGTCGAGGTGACAGGAAGATGGTACTAAGGTGAAGCCCGCCGAGCTCACAGCAGCATTCTTTTCGCCACAAATAATGTATGTAATGTATATGTAATAAATACTTGTTTGTTTATATATTCGTTTATTTATATATACTTTTCTACACGACACGTCTTCACATCTACGGTGCGTGGATTCTAGAACTTCTTGTATTGGAGGGTTTCCCAACTACGCCGAATACGACGTGTGCTCTACAAGCAATCAATTGATAATAAAAAACCGTAGAAAAGTAGTCTTGTGTACCAAAATAAACCATCCGCGAAAAAAGAGACCTATAGGTGTCTTGGCGGACATTTCCGCAAAGCGTTATTGGCAAATATAGGTGTCACTCATCTCGAGAATGTTAAAAATGTTCTTGAATGCTGGTCCTCAAATCTGTTCTCCCTGAAGGCTTGGGTTAGCTATGCTAGAGCATACCTAGTTGGAGTACAAAGAGTGAAGTTTTTGCAAATAACTGCGACACCAAATTTCCGATTCGGGAGAGATGAGAGATTGGTGAGCCAGGTGTGGGACCGAACCATTGGCGTGCTAGTGATGATCGGCATCACTACCACACTATGTTACGCATCACCTTACAACAGGGATATGCTGATTCAAAAAATGAAGACGAAATGTGACTTTCATAAGTGTTCTAGCTTTAATACATGCCTTCTTAAAAAACGAGCACAATTGTCGTGCTAGGTTGGTACATATGAAACGTCCGATGTTATTGTTTTAATTTTCCGTGCAATTTTCTGAAGAAAAATTTCGCTTTTTGAGTATGTTTAATTCATATTTCTATTGTGAGAAGTTTGCTTTTTCTACATTTAGCATTTTCATAGGCTCTAACATTGTTATGAATCAACGCGATATTCGTGTCCTTTTTTTGTACGAGTGGAAGGGTGGACGAAATGCCGCAGCAGGAGCGCGGAATATCAAGTTTAGTTTGAACGAGTGCTGGTGAATTATCAGCACGAACACGGCTCCGGAAATTCATCTGGTGATTTCGACCTCGAAGATTAGAAAGGCCGCGGACGTTTCAATGAGCTTGATGACGACGAATCGAAGGCACTAGTGAAAGCAAAGACGTGAACAACTGTTCGACAGCTTGCGTAACAGGTTGGCGTAAGCGCACGCGCAATTTCCAGTTACTTGAATTGCATTGGAAAGGACGAGAAACTCGACAAGTGGATCCCGCACGAATGAAACGATCACCTGTATCACCTGTAGTCCCGTTGATCGTCGAGTGACTCGAACGGATGCCAGTAAATCCTCCATTTTTCCCTGTCGCGTGCAAGAGCAGCCCACTGCGTTCTGCTCCCTCTAAAGACTCGTAGAGTGTCATATCTTTCTGCTAGGCTTTTCGTGAAGAACTCTGGCCATCGAGTCGGTGTTCTTCCTGCAGTACGTTTGACATCCCGAGGAATCCAGTCATTAATGGCTCTTGTCCATCGGTTGTCATTCATACGCATTACGTGTCGGGCACACCCTATCTTCGACTGTTTGGCGTACAGAGCGGCATCTTTGATTTTTGATCGTTGACGCAGGTCGGAGGTTCGGATCCCATCCCTCACTTGTGTGAAACGGGATACTCCTAGCATTGTCCTTTCGACTGCACGTTCGATAACACTGAGTGATCTTTCATCCTGGTTACGCAGCGACCAAGTTTTTGACGCATACGTTAGGGTAGGAAGTACCGTTGAGTCGAAAAGGTGGGCACGAAGTCGGGTATTCTTTGTTCTCTTTACTACATCTTCGATGCTCTTGAAAGCTCCCCAAGCCGCTCGTTTTCTTCTGCTCAGCTCGGGAGCTAAGTCGTTCATCATATTTTTTCATCACGTCGTTCCCAACCTAGATGGATATAACTGGAGCATTCGGAGATATTCGTTCTATTAAGCGTCAGTGGGGCATGCGAAACCAATCCGTTCTTCATAAACATTGTTTTGAGAGATTTAGTCGAAAAGCAATCTTTCCACAAGCTTTATCAAAGTCGGCAAGCATACGTTCCGCTTGGCTAATGTTTGGTGTTATAAGCACGATGTCATCAGCGAAGTGAAGATGATGTAACTGACGACTGTCGATTTTCACTCCCATATTATCCCATATCAATGCTCGCAAGACGTTTTGGAGGGTGGTGGTAAATGATTTTGGCCAGATGGCATCGCCTTGTCTAACTTCTTTTTTGACGTCATTGTTAATATCGTCGTAGAATGGTGATATCTTGGTTGTGAAGTTTTTGTACAGCTCATGAAGTACTGAGTAAGCACTCCTTGACCATTAAGGGCTTTCATGACTGCTTCTATCTCAGTTGAATCAAAGTCCTTCTGTAAATCGATGAAAACGAGACAGAGCGGTCTTTTGTACTCTCGCGATACTTCATTGAGCCTTGTTATCGTGTGGATGTGGTCCATCGTACTGAATCCTTTTCGAAACCCTGCTTGCTCGCATGGCTGTCCTTCGTCCAGTGTTCTGTCAATCCTGTTTAGGATTACTCGAGTGAAAAGTTTGTAGACGACTATCGAGTAGCTCACCCTTCTTAAACAATAACAATGAATAATGAAACGATAGTTTTAAAAATTGCCGTTTTGAAGTGTCGTCTGCTCTTATTCTGCGCAGCTAAAACTACCCTTTTCTTGATCGAACTGTGACATGCGACGAGAAGTGGTTACGCCAACCGACGACGTTCAGCTCAATGGTTGAATTGCGATCGAGCTCCATAGCACTTCCCAAAGCCGAAATTCCACCAAAAATAGGTTATCATGACTGTTTGGTGGTCCGCAGCCGAAGTGATTTATCATAGCTTTTTGAATTCCAGGTGAAACGATCAATGCAGAGAAGTATTGCCAACAAATCGAAAAAATGGACTGTAAAGTCCAATAACAACGACTGGCATTAGTCAAAAAGGACGAATCCTTCTTTACCAGAAAGCCTGGCGTCACATTGCGAAACCAGCACTGCAGAAGTTGAACGAGTTGGGGTACGAAACTTTGCCACATCCACCATAATCACGAGACCTCTCGCCTAGTGGCTATCACTACTTCAAGTACCTTGTCAAATTCCTGGGCGAGAAATGCTCCACCAGCCACGATGATGGAAAATTGCCTTCAACGAATTCATCTCCTTCAGAACTCTAGAATTCAATGACACTCAAAAAATTCTTTGGTTTCTTCTTGGAAAAAATGTGCTGCTTTTAACGGTGCTCATTTCGATTAATAAATTGGTATGAAAAAAGTCAATCACATTTAAAATCGGACATTTCATTTGCTACCATTTAATAGAAGACCAGTTCCACCCTCGCATGAGCTTCAGAAATGGTTTTTACAACACAGTACTCGGAGGCCTGCTGAATGGGGAAAGATTAAATGATGAAAACCATTGCAACGAAGTTGGTTTCAACCACAGTTCATGAATACTTCTCGCGAAAATTGCGGAAAATCGAGTGCAATGCATTCGATAAAATTCTCGGTAGTACATCTAATAGGTGGCCTAGTCTAAAATCCTTTAATCTCTTAAAACTTGCTGATGAAAATCAAAATGTGAATAGAACAAGAGCGAAAGTGTTTGCTTCTATGCTTTCAACATGATACTAATAGTAGTTTCTCAAATATATTTCCTCCATTGCTCGCAATCTTGTTAATTCTCTGGCAGTCACTCCTATTGTTGCCCCGAGATCAGTTGAACTCTTAATGTTTGCGAAATCACTTCGCAGACTTCTGCAAATAGTAAAGCGACAAATTGTCTAAAGCGCGACCAGTAAGTTAGCTAATTCAGAAATGGAACCAGTGCATGGTGGCGATCCTATTAGTTATTTTCTTAAGGTCTAAGTCGTCATGTTGTACACCATATTACTCCCATGAATTTCTTTCATTTAGAGAACCCTTCCGACTAACCGCGAGGATGAATTGTGCTCCACAGGTGCCAGATAGGACCTTAGCGCGGCTCGTGCTCGCACTGAAGTCCTGGCAAATTACAGGGTGGACTCCTTGTTTCCTCCATATCGGACATAAATAGACCTTCTGTTTCTATGTAAACATATTCATTTATTCGGCAGTAGATGGGCTTTTATTATATATATATATATATATATATGAGGATTTACTCGCGCCTTGAAACCCGGCCAAAAATGTGCACTCAACTGACTAGAAAGAATCCCCCTAAAAAGCTTCACTACGACAACG